ATGTCATTTGTTTATCATCAGATCACCAGGAAACTGTCGACATTTCATACACGGGTTACTTTTTTAAAAAAAATTATCACGATTTGAAACCTGAGCAGGAATGATGTAGGGAGGCAAGAATGACGTAATGCGGGCACGCGCGAGAAATACAGAAAACACGCGAGGACCACTACACATGTTGCGCACGCTCCTCAAACTTTGCACCTTACATTTCTTTTACCTCTATCATTGAGGGGAGGGCGCTTTTTATTTTTCACATATTAGCCTGATAAGAATCTGAGAAATTCGCCCTCACCATGCCAGATAAAAATTATTTCCTCCCACTACACGCGTTCCTGTACACACTGCTGGTAAATAAAGTTTATACGGTCAAACCTGTGGATACCCTGCCGTAGTAGCAACCTGAAACCAGCACTTACTTGCATGAACGGAATTCCACTGGGGAAAGGGTTCTTGAGTATCCGTCGAATTGTTGCTAAAAGGTTCACATTTTCATGAGTTGCTCGTAGTCAACACATGGAAACCGCAAGGTGCTTTATCGTCATGGTCTTATAAGGACATAGCTGAAAAAACTCAGAATCTGGGGAAACTCAAGGCCATGACCAGTACACTACCTGTGGTTAGCTGCTTTTGGAAAATAATGCCCGCTGTCTTATGTGTAAGCGTTACTATTAAATCAAAGCAGAAGCATATCACCTTGATCTAGGTGATATGCTTCTGATCGGAGTTAATCGCTTCTAATTAACATGCTTCTGATCAAGGTTGATTAAAATGTTGTTATACCGTAGCTTCATTTCTATATACTAGATTTTTTGCTTGTGATGACCACTATATGTTTTTGTTAAATCACAGAGAATGACTGTCCAGATAATTCTCATTGTAACTATTGGAAAAATATGGGATATTGTCGACATGGAAGCGCGCATTACACATTTATGAGAGCGTACTGTCCAGCCACATGCCGCTTGTGTGGTGAGTAAAATATTAAATAACGTATGCGAAATTTGGATCTGAGCGAAAAGAAATGGCACGAATCTTCCTAAAATCTTGCCCAGAAACACAATCTTGGCCATTTTATAGGCTTTGTAACCTCTCTTGTAAGCTTAGGGCCTAGAAGAGAGCACAAAAATCAAATCTGTTTGCTACAGCCTATTGGATAGCAAATTTTGAGCGTGAAATTTTGATAAAATTCAGTTAAGTTTGAAGGCTTACGAGACCTGTCAAAATTGTTGAGTAATCAAACAGCACCTGACCACTGAACGAAAACTGGCCGATGTTACACCTGGTCTCTCTTAATTCGGATCAAACACCTCCGGGGGTAGCTATATAGGCGTGTGCGGCCCCAAAGGGTGTGGTTTTTGAGCGGTTTTGGTCCGAAAAATAGTATGTCTCACTGAGTCTGGCTTGGCATTAAGGATTTTGATTACAAGGAACTATTTTTTTTTTCGTATCAACATTGTAGCTCTACTCAAATGGTTCGGCCGATGGTAGCCATTTCTGGTTAGCTGCGGTCATATTCCTAGAGCCGTGTACTAATTTTAGAAGCCTGAAATGAGGTATCGATTTTTGGCTCTGGTCTGAAATAGCGTGTGGAAAATCACACTTTTTGGTCTAAAATAGGGTAAGGGTTCCAAGTTTCGGGCTGCACGCCTGTATCAAAAACTTTGAGGAGTACCTCCCCTTGGATCAAATGATGAGGCTCAACAATTTCGTCACCGTTTGACTGTTATGTTGAATAGGATTACTTTATCCCTCATTCCGTGCCATGCCATGTGTAATAATCTTACATGTTATCTGATCTTATCTCTACGTCTTCAAGGTTGCTTCCCTCAGGCAGATAAAGTGTCAGTCTGTGCTTACTGGAAAAGGGCCGGTTATTGCCAGCCTAACAGCCGACACTATCAGTATATGTTGACCAACTGTCAAACAACATGCGGCCTTTGTTACAGTAAGTTTCTTTCCACATAATTTCTACGCAGGAAGCATAGAAACGTTGAAGTGCAATTAAAGTTCAAAAATTCATCATAATTCTTGGAGACACTATTCGTATTTCGATAATTCAGGAACAAAAAAACGATTACTTTTGAGAGATCACCGACGAAACGACAATTTTAGTGTTTGGAGCGACGATTTACACTTGAATGAAACGAGCCTCAGCGAGCAGTAAATTGGTAAACTAATGTTGTATATATAGTGGCAATTGAGCTATTATGATCAAATCGAGTATTTCGGGGAAAAAAGTTAAACAATAGGCTTGTGCCTCTAATAAAAGGGAAAAAGGCTCTTACAAGAAATAAAGATACAAATAACAAGAAGATATAATTTATATACCTATACATGTATGTCATTAATGATAGGAAGGTCAGTAACGAAAAAAGCTTTGCGCGAAGACTCAAAGATTCCAATCCTGACCCCTGAGATGCTCAAGAAAAAAATAAATGACAATATTACGTCCTCACCACATACCCTGACATGACTATCAAGTGCTTTCCTCTTGTTTTTTTAGAATCACCAGCGACTGGGAGTAAGCCTTCGCCTGATCCTTCCACCTCCACGGGATCAACTACCACTTATAGCCCCTCAGTTACTAGTGAAC